TTACCCTGCGTGTCTTTCCGCATGAATGATCCTGATTTACATACATACTTAAAGCTACTTACATACTCCAGACAGACACACAGAGCTATTTGAAACACAACAACAATGCTAATAATCAGATAGTACGCAGATTGCACAGGTGCTAATTTAAGGGTTTTCATATATTAATTGTATCCTTACAATAATGAAGTAGATACTATTATGTCCTCAATTTAAAGATAAGAAAACCAAATCAGAAAACTTCGGTAACTATGGCTGCAAAATGGGGGAGCTGGGACTTGAACCGTGAGCTCAACTCTAGCATGAATTGAGCACCTTCCCTTTCTGTGTCCAGCTCTGTGCTAGGCTCTGGGTATTCAGCGGTGGGTTAGTCTGGGATCCTGCCTGCATGTTACTCCAAGTCTAACCTGGAAGGGGAGAAGGATCACAGCGGAGTGATCAGGACTGCGAGAGAGGAGTACGGAGGAGAGGGGAGGGAGGCCTGTCTTGGGGCGGAAGAACAGGGAAGGCTTTGAGGCAGGAACAGCATTTTATTCGGGTTTTGAAGGGTGGACAGGAAATGGATGCAAAGGGATGAGGGAGAAGGGGTCCGAAGCAGAGGGAAGGGGGTGAGTGGAGGCTCTGCGTGGGTGTGGGTGAGAGCAGGGCAATATTTCATCTGGGCGGGGACAGAGGTGTCGAGGTACAGCATGGAAGAGAGTGAGAGGGAGATGGGCGTACCACATCGTGGGGGGACCCGGAATGCTGTTTTAATGATGCTGGACTTTATTTTGTGGTCAATGGGGAACCTTTGAAGAGTTTTGAGTTGAGTTGGGGGAAAATGGATGAGAAGAGAGTTGAATTTTAGAAAGATTGCTCAGTAACAAGTGAAGAGTGGAGGAGAATAGCTGTGAGGATGATTTGGTTAGGCTTTTTGGTTTGTTACAACAATCCAGGTGAGAGGCGTCTGAGCCAGGACAGGTGCAGTAGGAATAGGGAGGAGGAGATGCCTGTGTGTGGAACTGCCAGAACTGGACAGCTCTTTGGAGGTGTGGGATGAGGAGGCGTCACAGATGTCTCCAGGGAGGTTTGGAGATGGGGAGGTGCATGGGAGGTGATGGGGAAGGAAGAGAGGTAGAGCTCCATGGCCACCCACACTCTGGCAGCTCCTGATAGAATATGGGCCAGGGAAATCAGAGATGGACCAGACCTAGTTCCCACCCCAGAGAGCTGCCTGCTCCTGTGACTCGGAATACTGGTCTCTGGGCTGTGTGTGTTAGGTGCTCAGCAAACATTTTTGGGTTCCCAGTCTGTGGGGAAGAGATAATCTCTCTTTTCAGAGAATTCTTCATTAGCTAGACAAGTCCTTGTTCCTTAAAAACTTAAAGTCAAATAGAGATGTGACCAGAACGCTATAGCGGGACAGATTCACAGAGTAGACATCAAACGCAGATACTCGTGAGTTGACACCAAAGGTCCTCTTCCATCAGAGTAAGAATGTTGGCCTGATGGAAGATGGGGGTAGGTGGATTTGTGGGGTTTGGTGGGTAAGAAAAACCTGTAGCCAGGGTGGCACTGAGGCTGGCCCTTCCCAGCATTTCTGTGGATTGGCCTTGAGACCTGTGTCTGACTCCCCTGGTTTGTGCCCCTTCCTGCAGGTGGCGCCCCTCCCAATGTGGATCCCGAGGCTTACTCCTGGTTCCAGTCAGTGGACTCTGATCGCAGTGGCTACATCTCCATCAAGGAGCTGAAGCAGGCCCTGGTCAACTCCAACTGGTCCTCGTTCAATGATGAGACATGCCTCATGATGATCAGTGAGTCCCTGCCCTTCCCCCTGGGCTCGAGCTGGGCCAGTGGGACCTGATACCTGATAGTAGGTGGGTGGTCAACCCTTCTGAGGAGAGATCTTTTGGCCAGGAAACTGGGTTCAAGGTGAGATCCGCTAGACTGAGAGCTCTTTCCCTTAGATCTTTTCTCAAGTTCTAGACCCCGCTGCATCACAGGCTAACTCATTTCCTGTTCTGCAGAATGAGACTCCCTGCCCTGTAGGAGAGGGCAGGGAGGGTGTCAGCTGCCAAGCCTGCAGAGAAAATGCAGTTCTGGAAGGAAGGGGTGGGGCTTAGGGTGGCCAGGGTGGGGCTGGTGTAACACTTGATGAGGGTGCGTCTTAGGGACAGGCATCTAGGCCTCAGGCCTTTGGTTCTCTGGAGTCTCCTCCAGTAGGGGCTGCCTCAGTGGTACCCAAGGATCCTTGGCCCTCGGTCTTGAAACTTTCCTTCCCTCCTTTCCCTCCCCACCAAGACATGTTTGACAAGACCAAGTCAGGCCGCATCGATGTCTACGGGTTCTCGGCCCTGTGGAAGTTCATCCAGCAGTGGAAGAACCTCTTCCAGCAGTATGACCGGGACCGCTCGGGCTCCATCAGCTACACAGAGTTGCAGCAAGGTGAGGGCGGGGCTAGGGCCCGTGCACAGGCAGAGCTAGACTTTTCTCTTTACTCCCTGAGACAGAACAAGGGGCTTTCTCTAGTCTCTGACTATCAAACGTCCAGCTGCATTACAAAATGCTGTCCTCAGCACAGGCCCACTCCCCACCCCTTCCATGACTGGGCTAGGGCGTTGAGCCAAGATCCAGAGCAAGGAAACACCTGGGATCAGGCTCAGGGCTGGACTCCCTGCTGATGGGACTCCTGGCAGTTTCTGGTGAGACAGGCCCAGCTGGCAGGGATCCTTGGGGATGGAGACGCAGCAACCCAGTGCTCATCGAGACCAGTATGTGTGACTTTTGTGGCGCTTTTTTCTCTAGTTTCTAGCATGCCCCTGTGTAGGGGCTCAAAAAGATGATTTCTGTTGCTAGCTCTGTTAGAAGGCAGTTTTCTTCCCAACTCTGGGCTGCAGACCACTCTGAAAGTTGCAGTTGTGTGAGATGACCCGAAGCCACAGCTCCAGGTCTGCTTCCGATTCTGACTCTAGGGGATGGGTGGTTCGTGGGGTTATGAGACCCTGACGAGGAGCTTTGCCACTTAGAGGGGAGAAAGGGCTCCCCAGAGAACCCAGCCCCTTGCCCTGGCCATGGATTCCCATCAGACCGAGGGGCTCTGTGGGTGGGGGTGAGCTCATGGTATCTGTACCCTGGTAGACCAGAAAGGAGATGACCTGTTCTGATCACCCTGCTTTCTTGTCGGGTGCTGTCGTGGAGATTGGGAAGGGTGATACAATCACAACAAAACGAATGTTTGTTGAATATGTTATTCGTTCATTCTCCCCGTGTGTAGGTACTGTTTATTCCTCACCCTTAAATGAAGAGTCTCTTATTATTGCCTTTTTACAGATGAGAAAACAGGCTAAGTATAGGTAGCTTGCCCAAGGGCCACATAGCAAAAGGGGAGCTGGGATTTTAGCCTGAGCTGGTAGATTATGCAGAGAGGAAGGGAGGAGGCATCCCAGCTAGAGGGACAGGCAGAGCAACATGTAGGCTGTGACTTTGGAGCTGCCTAGCAGCCTTGCCTGGGGAGATGATGATTTTATTATTTTTAATAAATGACACTTACTGAGTGCTTATGTGCTGGGCAGCGTCCCAGGTGCTTTACATGATCACTTCCTTTAATGCTTACTAGAAGCTCCAAGGTAGGTATTATCCCCATTTTAGAGGTGATGACAGAGGATTAGCAAGGGTAAGCAACTTGCTGAGGGGCTGTCTTGACTCCAGAGCAGGCCCTCGTAACCTCTATGCCGGGCCACCTCTGATGTGCGCCCTGGACAAGGTGGTCCTAGGGGTCTCAGACTTCCTTGTGTAGTGCACACGAGTCAGGGATGAGCACAGATAGACTGGTGTTCTGGGACCCCATGGGCCCCTGGTTGAACGGGGTGTAATGGAGTTGTGGAGAAAGAGGGATGGGGCCCTACCAGCCCAGAGGAGCATCCAGACAGAGGCCCTGTTGTGCTCCTGCCATCTCGGACAGACCCTCGGGACTCCTTTCCTCTTTCTGCTTCCATGCTGATCCCATTCCCTCAAAGTCCCCTGAGCTGCGGTGCTCCATGGCGCTGGTCGATGGCGGTGCTCATGGCAGGTTTTTGTGTGTGCTCTGTGTGCCCCTCCTCTCCAGCTCTGACCCAAATGGGCTACAACCTGAGCCCCCAGTTCACCCAGCTCCTGGTCTCCCGCTACTGCCCGCGCTCCGCCAATCCCGCCATGCAGCTGGATCGCTTCATCCAGGTGTGCACCCAGCTGCAGGTGCTGACTGAGGCCTTCCGGGAGAAGGACACAGCTGTGCAGGGCAACATTCGGCTCAGCTTTGAGGACTTCGTCACCATGACAGCTTCTCGGATGCTATGACCCAGCCCATCTGGCTCCTTAGAGTGGGAGAAGCATGTGGGCCTCTCTTCTTTTCCTGCCCCTCCTAGAAAAAGATTCTCCCTTGCCTGATGTAGCACTATTCCCAAAGAAGGCTGGGAGCCCTGCGTCATAGCTGCCACAGAGTGGGGACCTGAGTGGAGGCCACACAGGTAGGGCCTGACCTAGGAGAGGCCTGGAAGTTGAGTCTCCTTACAGTCCTGAGCATTTAGATGGCACAGCCTTGCACCAGGAGCAGGAGATGCCAGTCATTGCAATGGCATTCATGTCCAGTGTTAGGCTGGGCTCCAGCTTCTAGCTTTCCCTTCTGTGCCCTGAGGCCAGTGGTGAGTATTCATGGGCCTCTTACCATTCCCACCTGTGTTCCCTCACCCATGCTGTCTTGTCAGATGAACCCAGTTTCTCCAGAGGTAGAATCTGACCAAGCATGAGAGAGGTTTGCTCTCGGGACCAGTGGCTTGGATTCCGCCACCCCCATGCCCATAAATCCGTGTGTGTGTTCACTTCTAGCTGCCTGGGGGCTGTCCCTGCTTGGGGAGTTGGGACAGTCTGCTCTCTGGGTATCTTTGGCCAGGCTACTGCCCTCTGCAGCTTGGACCCCTCTCTTGCCTGCCATTTTCTGCTTGACTTCGTCCCCAGGGACAGTTGCCACCTCCCACTGCCAATGCTTTTTTTTTTTTTATTTGTGGTTTTTCCATTTGGGGCCAAAAGTTCAGTGAAACTGTAAGCTTCAATAAAAATATAAAAAATATAAAGTTCTGTGTTTTTCCTCCACACCTTCCCAGCCACAGGTTCATATGCTTATCCATTCAGTCACCATTCTTTCGTTCGACAAGTATTTAAGTACGTACTGTATACCACGCCATGCAGAAAGAAGCAGCTCCGGGGGACATGGTCTACACGGGGCTGCTCTTATTTACCAGGGTGAAGTAGGGGTCTGCCAGGTTCAGTTCAGTACGGGCTGGGGGTCAGCACAAGAAGCTGATTGTGTGTTTTATAACAGTTTTCGGGCTGGCATTCTGGCCTGGAAGTAGCCACCCCACGCTTTTTACAGCATGGCCTTTTTATTATCTCAAGCCCTAGTTTTATCTCCCAGACCAACTGCATTTATTAAGTCATAACTTCTCCCCCATTTTTATTAAGCACAGACATCTGTACTTGCCAGCTGGATTTTCAGATCGGCATGATAACCAGTCTGCTCTGAATGTCTATGGTGGTCTGACAAATTTCAATCAAAAGTCAAGACACCAGACATTCCGGTTTGCCTGGGGGACCTTATATGGGTAATGGTGTGATGAGAATCCTTTTGCTTTGGGGGTGAAGATAAGAACTCCGGGCCCTGATCACGGCACCGCTCCCTGCACTGGGGGGTCCGGGGAAGTAGCTATGACTGTTGGCAGCTCAGTGAGGCCCACCAGGTTTGTCAGGCTCAGCCACATCAGCCCCATTCTCTGTAGTGCTAGGATCCTAGAATTAGATGGCATCCATTCCCAGAGGCCAGCCTCCATCCGGAGCCAGACTCTTCTCCATGGCCCCCCAGTGCATCTGGCCTCTGCTTGCCAGGCTCCAATGGCAACTCAGTGCATTTCCAGGCAGCCCACTTCCTCTTGACTGGTAGAAATTTCTTCCTGATGTGGATTCCAAATCCTGCCACCTTGAAAACACCACCCATTTGCTATGGTTTTCTCTCTTGGGCTATCAGAACATACATCACCCCTTTTTGCATGTCAACCCTCTAGATATCTAGAACCTGCCACCACATTTCCCCCCAAGTCCTCCCTTCCCTAGGCTGGACAGTCCCAGGCTCTTCAGCAACTCTTCACTGGGCATCACTCCCCTTGGCATCCTGATCACCTCCCCTGAATTTTCACCAGTCCCCCAAAATGGCAGCCTGAGGCCTACTGTGGTGCTGGGTTCAACCAGCAGAGCAGAGTAGCACTGTAACCTTAGGGGAATCTTCTGTTATTTCTTTGCTCCCACTGAGCCCAGTGTCTACTGAAAACTGTCTTTAAAACTGTGCCCATCATCGTCTCTCGCCCTTGTGCCCAGCAAGGCCTGAGGAGCCCAGTGCCTGGGTTGGTCCTTGTGGGCATGGTTGGTTCTGAGCTTGGGACCAGCCCTCACCTCATGTGGCACTCTGCACCTGCAAGCCTGGCTACAAAATTTCCCAACAGCTTTGGATCCTAAGGTCAGCAGGAGTGTGGCATGGGCAGGACAGCCCATCCTGCCTGGCACCAACTGCACATCTGTAGAAGAGTCCGTGAGAGCTGGGCTGGTGAGCCATGTGGAGAGTGGGATGACATACTTAGACCACGCCTTCCACTCGCTCTGGATAAAGTGTGGTGCCTAAGAAGAGGGCTGCTTATGCATTCCTGGGCTGGGCCCCTGCCAGGACCATGGTTTGCCCCACTTCCTGACGGGTGAGGTCAGAAGGAACCCACAGCCCCATTAATCAAGTTAAGCAGACCGGGTGGTGCGCATGGCCAAGCTGGCTCTGCCAAATGTCTCCCGCTTCTCTCAGAAGAGTAGTGCTTCATTGCACCTCCTGCTTTGGCACCAAGGATCAGGGCCTCTGGCAGTCCCTAATCCTCTTGGTGGCAGGCGGAGAATGTCTAGCCAAGTCTGTGGCTTTGTCTTTATATTGTGAGTTCGTAGAAAATAAATGCAAGCCCTGATTTCCAAGAAGGTGAAGGTGATAATCAGTCCTCTAACCCCACTGTGTGCCCACCCTACCCCCTTACCTTCCATAGGCTGCTGGGCCGGTGAGCAGACAGATGTGTCAAGGTCGAGGGCCTGGGATCAGAGGTTGGGCACTGCCTGAGGAGGCAGCCCCACGTACACTCTGAGGCCTGGCTAGCAGCCCATCGGCCTGGAGTGTTGGGGATGGGAGGCGGGAGTGGTCAGCAGAGAACAGCATCCCAGTGCTGCCATGTCTTCTCCCCTCCCCAGCATCCCTACCTTCTCACTCCTAACCTAAGCAGCACAGATTTTGTGCAATGACAAGGAAAGGGAACGTTCGGTGCCAGGCTTTTAATTACAGTTGCGTCAGGCTGCTGGCCTCCATGCCAAATGGCCACATGGAGAGTTTTATCACACCACAAAGCCAACAGGGTTCAGTCTATGGTGCATGCAGTTGGCACCTGGTGAGGGTGGGGCTGTGTTCCCCCTGGGGATGGGCCGAGCCTAGATTAGCTCACACAGACCTCAGAGTAGCTGGCAAGTGCAGCCCGAGCTTTAAGGAGCCACTGGGCCAGATGGAAATGCCTGCTGGGACCCTTACAGCAGACTCAGGGGAAGGCCTGTAATTGGGTAGGAGAGGGTCTTTGGGAGGAAGGCCAAGCTCTGGAAGGATGATGGGGACGGATAGTACTGTGAGGTATGGCCAAGTAAGACGACTACAGTGAGAATCTTGTCCACAATACTCTACGGTTTACAAAGAGCTTTCCATTTTCTTGAGCACGCTTAATCCTCACATCACTCCTGCTTAGGGGACACAGCTCAGAGAAGGGAAGTGACTTGCCCAGAGTCAAACAGGCAGTAAACCAGGACTGGAGCCCCAGCCTCGACTACATCCAGCAGTCTTTCCACAGGAGTAGAGATGGGTCCCCCAGGAGCCAGAGGAACAGCCCAGCTGGGAACAGTTTGTACTGCCTGGAGCCACCAGGGCAGTCCTCACTTAGGGCAGCACTGTGGTGACGCTGGTGAGCACCACATGCTCCGAGACCTTGGAGACGGAACATCGGCTCTGCAAGGACAGGGACTTGTGGCTAGCAGAGGAGCGGGGGCTGGGGGCCTTCAGAGAGCTGCAGGGACCCAGGCCAGGCAGGCAGCAGGAGAAGGCAGCCTTAAACTGCTCCCGGAATTTGCCTTGGTTGGGAGACAGAAGACAGCCATAAGGAGCTGGATGCAGCACGGAGGGCTGTCCCTTGGGCCCAGGGACACCCACGCAGCTCCACCCAAGCTGCCCGGGAGAACGAGGACAGAGGCCCCAGAGCAGGCTCCCAAGGAGAAACTCAATTTTCATCTGATTCTTTGCCTCAAAACGTGGTGTCTGGCTCTAGGGCCTCAGGTCGCCTCTGCCCTCCTTGCCGTGTACGTGGAGGGGCCCAGGGCTCACCATCTGTGGCTAGGCTTTCCCCGTCTCTGCCCCAGGGTGATGAAAATGACAGCAGCAGCAGCCTTCGCATAAGGCACTATGCCAGGTGCCTGAGCTTGTCTCCCAGCTCATCCCCACCCCTTGAGTGGCTGGAGTCCTTCATCCTCACTTCACAGATGAGACACACAGAGGTGCAGTGGCTTGCCCAGGCCAGAAGTTGGACCCGGTTCTAATTCCAAAGCCCTTTGCTTAAAGGGGAGGACAGAGTGGGGAAGGAGAGATGACCACAGCTGCCTGGTTCAGCCGAGGGACACCAGGGAGACAGAGATTTTGTCTGGAACTGAAACCTCCTCCATGTTTCATCATCCTGCCAGCCTCTCTGGAGAGCCAAGCATACAGTAGGTGCTCAGTAAATGTAGACCCAACAGAGGAGCGCACATCAGGAAGTCTGTCTGACGTTTCCTCCCTCAAAGCGCTCATCTCTTCTGTTCTCTCCTCTGAGCTGGAAACCATCTGGCTAGCCTTTGTTGAGTAATTTCTAGTCTCAGTGAGGGTTATAGTATTGACCCCTGGCCCCTTCTTTAACCTTTCAACCTTTGCTCAAAGATTGTGTCCAGGCTTGAACAGTCCTCTGGACCAGCTCTTTAGGCCTAGTCCTAAAGTCAGAGGTCTGGTGAGTCACACTTCTGCTGAGCCGAGCGGAGGGTGGGCATTACCACCCTGAGGCGGGGAGGTGGAGGGAGGGGATGGGAGCCGTGGTACAGCTGGGAGAGGAGGCCTGGGGTGGGGTGGGGGACCGGGGATGCCTGGACTTCCAGAGGAGAGAGTGTCAGGGCTGCTGCTGGAGGCAGGTGAAGTCAGGGACAGCCCCCAAAATTCTGGCCAGTCTGCCAGTGCATGTCTAGCTGGGCATGCACCATGCACCCCTTCCTGGTCCTGGCTGCCTGAGCTGGTGACCTCCCTTACCCCTGATGCCTCAATTATGCAGTCATCCCCTCAGGCAGGGGCTCCTGGCCCTGGCACCCTCTGAAGCCTGTGTTGACCAGACGGGCTGATTGGAGGTCCTGCTGTGCATGCACCAGGCAGGGGTGGGGATGAGCTGGCCGACTCCCTGCCCTTCCTACCCGCTTACTGGTCTGCATAATCTGCAACACTAGCTCCTAGGTGCCGGTCCGCTTTCTTTGGCCACTGTTGGGAATGTGGCCTGTCTCCCACTCAGACCAGACCTCTTGGGTGGGGCCGAGTCTTCTGCCTGAGTGGGAGTTCCCAGAGGAAGGTCATGATCCCCCATGGGGGAGCAGGTATATCCTTCCCCCCATCCTTTATTTAGCCTGGTTTGCGGATGGGAAGACCACTATCCCAGGGACTGTGGCCACCCTCCGTCCCTCTGCCTGCCCAGCCCACTCACCGCTGAGGAAGTTGTAGATGATGGGGTTGGCGGCGCTGTTGGCATACACCAGCCAGTGGGAGAAGGTAAAGCAAGCGTAGACGGCTTCTCGGTCGCTGGCTTGGCGGAACATCCCAAAGACCCTAGGACAAGGAGGCAGGACAGTGAGAAGTGCTGTCCATGTGTGTGTTTCTGTGGTGTTGCTCATAGAACTCAAGCTGCAGGGCTGCAAAGTACAAGAGTTCCTACCGCCCACTTCCGTCCACCAGGAGGCCCTTTCCTAGGCCTCTGGGTCTGGGGTCTTGACCACAGTTGGGTTCTTGAGCACAGACAGTATGACTCAGTGGGCCCAGGGGTATCTAGCAGCAAGTACATCTGCTCAGTCACTGCTCTCGGATCCCCTGGGGCTCCCCATCCACTTTCTCATCCATCCTCATAGCAACATGATGAGTCACAGACAGCATCCATTTTTCAAATAGGGAAACAGAGGCTCAGAGAAGTAAAGTGACATGCCCAAGATCACACAGCCAGAAAGTAGCCAAGCACAAACTCACACTGACATCGTCTCATGTCAACTAGCCCACATTCTTTCCTGGCACCTGGTAGCCTCTCACTTGCTAGGCCCTGTGTTCCCTCTGCTTAGAGGGCTGTTCCTCCAGACACTTGCAGGGCTTGGTCCCTCCCTTCCTTCACGTCTTAAATGTCACTTCCTCAGAGAGGCCTTTTTTAAAAAAAACATTATATCGAAAAAAAGATTTGTAAAAAACAATCCAATCTCTGTCACTGTCACTTTCTAACCTCTTTCCCCATTTTATTTTTCTTCAGAGCAATTATCACTGCCTGACATCATGATACGTGTATTTATTTCTCTCTCCTGCTAGGTGTAAGCTCCATGAAGGCAGGGACTTGACTTGTGCTCCTGTGCACTGTGTCCCCAGCCCCTGCCATCTGATGACTGAGTGAATGCATTTTCACAACAGCCCAAGGAGGCCAGGACTGTCATTATTTACATTTTACACATGAGGAGATTGAGGCTCAGAGAAGAGAAAGGACCTGTCCCAAGGTTACACAGTGGATGAGCGATAGAGCCTGGTCTTTTTCCAAAGCAGAGAGACCTCCTCCTTCTGACCCCACCCCCGAGCTCTCTGCATGCCCTCACCTCTTGAGGACATTGAGGACACTGATGGGCAGGTAGCAGAGGGCGAAGACCAGCAGCACCACCATCAGCATCTTGGCCGTCTTCCTCCGAGCTCGCATCTGCTTCACCTCGGCCAGGAAGGCGCGGGCCCGAGGCTGGGGCTTTGCACTCAGGCCCTGCCCCTGGTCCTCCGACTGGTCTGAGGGCTGCTTCCACTTCCTCACGAGGGCCGAGGTGGTGCCGGGGATCTGTCCAGCACACACAGAGACAGCAGCGGTGGGTGGAGTTTCCTGGGGGGATGGTTCTTTGCTGGGCCCTGCTCTGGGCTGGACCCTGGGGCAGAAGGTAGGTGAAGGGAACAAACCCTTGCAGTAGGAAGGAACCTAGTATTCACAATAAAGACCAAGACTCTGGACTGAGACTGAACAATGTTCTTTTACTTTCCCTTAGCTCACTCTCAGACCACCTCCAGTGGGCCTTCTGGGAAGCTGTTATTGGCCCTTAGTTATAGAGGAGGCAACTGCAACAGAGAGAGGCAGGGGACCCTTGACAAGGCCCCAGGCCACAGGGGGCCCTGAGCATCCTTCCTGCTCTCCGTCCATCCTCCTTTAATCACCACCTCCATGCTTGGGGGTGGGGGCAGGGGGCCAGTTCTGTCTCACCCTGGCCCGTGGCTGTCTGTGGGGAGGCCTCAGCAAGGGGTGAGCAGGTGGGCAGCAGAATGGCTTGGACCTCAGAGCACAGGGCACAGCCCAGATTGGTGCCCATAAGCCTACAATGGTTCCAGGCTCCTGGAACAGCCACAGATAGCCTGGAAGCCCCTCCCAGCACTGGACACCTGAATCACCCCACAACAGAGGGGCACGGGGCTAGAATTCAGGAGATGGGGTCTAGGGCCAGCTCAGCCATTCATGAACTATGTGACTTTGGTCAACTCACTTTCCTTTTCTGAGACTTAGTTTCCTGTCTGTCAGATGAGGATAGCGACTCCTGCCATCTTGACTGGGGGTCTATGAGGAGCAGATGGCAAGTGTTAGTGGACTACAAGGCTGGTCATGTTCTGGCCTGCATCCTCTCGCTGCCCGGGCACTGACCCAGGACTCACTCCCGCTAGTGCCAAGGGCCCCTAAACCCCCCTCCCCCTGCAAATAAAAACAACACCAAAACCCACAAAACCTGCTGTGGGTCAGTGCGTAATGGAGGAAAGAAGGCAGACCCTGGAACCCAAAAGGCTCTGCCAGTCGTCAGCTTTGGCAAGTTGGGTGTCCTTACTCAGCATTTGTAAAGTGAGTAGTCTTCCTTCTTTGGTTAGACAGCTGTGAAGACGTTGCGTGCAAAGTGCCTAATTTGGCAAGCACATGGAGCTGCTATTTCTATTATTGCTGTGGCACTGAACTGAGCAGCGGAATCCCCCACAGCTGGGTTTCAGTCCCCGATCTTCCACTCGCTGGCTGAGGGCTTCAGGGGAAGTTGCTTTGCCTCTCTGGGTCTCAGTTTTCTCATATACTAAGTTGGGGGTAATTTATGGTAGTTAAGAGGATGCCAGACTAGCTGGGAGTGCATGGTACCCGAAACAGCAGTGACCCATATCAGAATGGCCTCAAGCACCATTAGGTTCCAGGCTCGGTGCTAGCACTTTCTGCCTCAGGTCTGATGTGTCCCTGAGCCTTGCCTCTCTCTGGTTGCAGCCAGGATGGCATGTTCTGAAGGCAGAAGACTGTCTACTCCCTTCGACCCCTATCCCCTCCCAGCCCAGACAGTGACACCAGAGTGGGCCTCACCTGGCGGCCCCAGAGCTTGCGGAAGATCTGGAAATAGGCCATGGCCATGAGGCCCAGCGGGGCCAGGTAGGTGACAATGAAGAAGCAACTGTGGTAGATCTTGGGATAGAGGTCGTCTGCAGGGGCCAAGAGATGAAAGGGTTGGGCCCAATCTGGGAGCCTGCAGCCTGCTCTGCTTAGCAATGCCACCCTGCCCCAACTAGGGCCAAAGCAAGGCCTAGGGGCAGCTGGGCCTGTACAGGTCCCATGGCCTAGAGACCCGGGAGTTGCCCAACTTGGGGGTGTCCATCCTGGGGGGACTCCAGCAGATGTCTACACTAGAGGAGGTGCCCACCCAGAGGTTTCCCCAGAAGACACCGGCTCTATGGTGTCCATCAAGGGGTTACTTACCCTGGAGGTGCACCTGGTAGATGCCCACTCTAGGGTGTTCTTTTGGGAGATACCCACCCTGGGGGTGCCCACCCCAGAAGTACCCTGACAGATGCCTGCCCTGGGGTCTGTGCCCCAGAGGGGCCCCTTCAGCGATGCCAGCCCAAGCCTCCCGCCGTTACCTGCCCAGTGTTCGTCACAGACAGAGAAGAGGCGGGTACGGTTGGCTAGCTCAGGCAGCACACTGCTATATTCCATGACAGCAGCCTGGGGCACCATGACAGCCAGTGACACAGCCCAGATGCCCAGGATGGAGCCACGGGCGCGCCGGGCGGTGCTCTTGAACAACAGCGGGTGGCAGATGGCATACCAGCGGTCCAGGGCGATGAAGCTGAGAGTCAGCACTGCCACTGACACAGACACGGCCTGCCCCACAGGGACATAAGGTCAGTCCTCTTGGGGGCCACCCAGAGATGTGGGATGAGTGATGAGGCTCACAGCCCAGAAACATCAGGGAGCCAGGTGCAGTGCAAATCCTGACTCCACCGGCTACTGGCTGTGTAGATTTGGGCAAATCACACCCCCTCTCTGAGCCTCATCTGCAGAATGGGAATATACCATCCACCTGACAGGATGCTTGTGAGAAGAAGTGAAATCACCGATGGCAAAGGTCCGGCTCGAGACCTGGCACATCTATGAATACTAACTTACATTTATGGAACCTACTATGTGCCAGACACTGTTCTCATTATCCTCACAACGACCCCATGAAGTGGGTACTCTTACCCTCATGTTACAGACGAGGAAACTGAGGCACAGAAAGGTTAAATAACTTGCCTAAGGTAAATTTCCTCACCTGCCTGTCTTTATTCTGAGGGGCCAGAGTTAATCAGTTGAGTGGAAATCCTCAAAACTGAGAGATCCAAGAGGCATTTCTCTCTGCCCTGGGTGCCAGCCCTTCCCCAGACTGTTAGCAAAAAGAGTCCTCATTCTGGGAGGCAGAGAGGAGTGTAGGCCAGAGGCATAGGTGGGCATTGCCTCCTATATAGGTGGGAGTGCCCCCCTGCCCTCTGGGGTACAGGGAAAGGGTCGAGGGATGCAAGTGAGGGTCCCTTCTAGCCAGCTCTCCTGCCACCCTGCTAGCCTGTCTGCACATCCTGATTCCACCACGGGGAGTGGCGGGGGGGAGGGACGGCCCCGGCCAGGGGTGGAAGGGGAGGGGAGGAGACTCTGCAGCAGGACCCCTCAAATCCAGCCCCCCTGGGGTCAGGAAGCAGGCCCAGTGTGTATTGTGTTTGTCACTGCAGGCTTGTGCCTCTCTCCTCCGCTGTGTGTACATGTACCTGGAGGTGACTGTGCACGTGCCCACACGTGCCTGTGTGCATGTCTGTGGTCCAGGAGGGGATCTCTGTGTGAGTATGTTGGGCTGTGTCTGTGTCCTCGAGTGTCAGGCCTAGTGGCCTGCCCTTGCCGACAGTAAAGGATGACATTGCAGAGGTACTGAGCCACCAGGTCCTGTCTGAAAGGCAAGTCTGAGGGTCACTGAGACCTATGCAAGGCCGTGGTTTTTGCACTTGATGTGCCAGCGGGATGACGAGGGCCGCCTGGGCAGAGCTCACCTGTAGGTAGGGGATGACCTTGCAGAGGGCATGGCCAAAGAGCCAGGACTCAGTGATGTCCACCAGCAGGCTGGCCGGCAGGCAGATGGCCGTCACCAGCACGTCGGCCAGGGACAGGTTAACGATGAAGTAGTTGGTGACCGTCCTCATGTGGTGGTTCCGCCACACTGCCAGGCAGACTGCGGGGCGGGGCGACGATGAGGTGAAGCCAGGGCAGAGCCACGCCCCCCGGCGAGCCCCCTCCCCCACACCACCAGCGCAGGCCTGAGGTAGGGGCTGGGGGAAGGGGGAGAGAGGCGACGCCCGGGACCCCTGCCAGCCCCCAGGGGAAGCCCCCCCCCCCCCCCCCGCACCACCGGGACCCAGACACCTACCCAGCGTGTTGCCCACCAGGGCCACGAGGAACACCGCCACATAGGCTGCAATGAGGACCCACTCGTACTGCTTCGGGTACAGATAATCGCGCCACAGGTAGCGGAGAAACTCGTCTTCGTAGTCGGGAGGGAGCGGGGACGGTTCCGCGCTACCACTGGGGACCCCCGTCTGGGCCCCTGGGGTGGCTGAGGGCTCCATGAGCTCAGGAGAGTCTGCGGACGAGGGGCATCCTGGGCTCCGCGGAGGGAGGGGAGCCCGGACCGGCCTCAGCCCGCTTCCCTCAGGGGACCCAGAGTCTTGCACCCAGGTCTTTGGGGTCCCAGCCCCAAACCTCCTGAAGCAAGGGAGGGAGGAAGGAAGACAGGAAACATCAGGGAGTGCGCCAGGTATTTGCATATAAGCTCCCTCTTAATTCTCACAGTGGTGTGGGTTATCAGTGGACAAAGACAGACCTGGCTTGCATCCCAAGTCCACACAAGCTACTCCTGGGTAACTTACCGCGCCCCTTTCAGCCTCGGTTTCCCCATCTGTCCAATGGAGTCAGAACTGTACCTAGGGCCGCGGTGAGGAATAATGAGCTCTAAAGCACACCAAGTGCTTTGCCCAGAAACTGGCGCGGGACGCCGGCTTCCCGGCCGTTGCTGGTTACCCTTATCAGGGAACTCTGCCTTCCGACGGGGAGATGGTAGCTCAGAGAGGTTGAGCCCCTTCCTCAAGGCCACAAAGCTGCTATACCAGGTCTGTCTGAATCCACCGAACACCACAGATTGGGAGGGGAAGCCATCCCGATTGCATATGTTCTCTCCCGAGTCAGTTCACAGGCCTGAAGTTTTGATTGAAAAAATGGTCGAGGGCCGTGTTGGAGACCCAGACCCCGCCCACCAGGTCGGCCAGACCCTCGCCGGTGAGACACACACACACGTGCGCGGTGAGGAGAGGGGTGCAGGGAGGAACTGAAGACCTCCCTGGGAGCCAGGCGAGAGCCCCAGGCCCAGCAGCCAGGCCCCTCAGGCCCGGCCGGTCCCCCCGTGAGTCCTCGGGGCCGCGGTGCGCCCCGGCGGCCGCCAGGGGTCGCTGGGCCGGCGCGCAGGCCTCTCTCTCCATTCATAAATCCGGCCTCACTCCCCGCCCCTCCTCGCTAGCTCCGACCCTCCCGCCCCCAGCTGGGCAGGGGCGACCCGGGACGTGTGTAGGCGGGTTGCCGGTGCCCTGGGGGAGGGGGAGGGGACTCCATATCCCCACCGAGCGCCGGCGGACCCACTCCCTAAGCAGGATCCCCCTGCACCTCGGGGGCTGCGGGGGGCTGCAGGGGCTTGGGGGAGTGAGGGCGCTAGGGGTTCTGTAGGGAGGAGGGCAGAGCCTGCTGGGGACCCAGCCTCCCAGCACCCAGATTATCCCCCGAGACTCTTGTCTCCCGCTGTGGGTCCTTTGGAACCCCCGCCCAGGCCTGGGGGTCCCCCAATCCCCGCACCTGTTGGCTCCGGGACCCCGGCGTCCTCGGCTGCTGGTACCCGGACCTGGCGCCGGGGACTTCTCCCCCTGCCCCGAAGGCCGGGCTCCTGGGCGCTGGGGCTCGGGGAGGGGGCCGGGGCAGCCCCCTCCCAAGGCTGCGCTGCCTCGGCGCGTTCGGCTGGACGCGAGCCCCGGCTCCACCGCGGGCTGTGGCTCGGCGCGGGCTCCGCCGGGCTGCGCGCCGTGGGGAGGGGGGGCCGGAGCGGGAGGGGCCGGGCGGGGAGGGGAGCCCCCAGCCGGTCTCGGCTTCATGTCTCCCAGCCCCGAGACCAGGAGGGCGGAGGGAGAGGCTCGTTCCTCCTGGCCCCCAGCTTCACGCTTCCATCCCACCTCCATTCATGCGTCCATCCGTTCATTCACATCGTTCGCCTTCATTCAACATTTATGCCTCTGGCCGCTCCGCATTCAGAGCGCACCTACTGTGTGCCAGTGGGCCCTGGGCAGCTTCGGAGAGCCTCAGTGCAGAGGTGGATCCCAGCTCCACCTCTCCTCGCTGCCTCGCTAGCTGATGAGGATGATGGCACAGGTGGGTCGTAGGGGTGAGAGATGCCCGCGCCGCCTCCAGCCAAGCGCCAACTGCTGCTGGAGCAGCTAGTGCCCAGCAATGCCACAAGGCCCTGCTGGCCCATCTCCCAGCCGGCAAGTCTATCTGCCCCCAAATCCTGTTTGGTCATACCTACTTTCTCTCTCCCAAGACAGGGACGATAGGTGAAGGCAAGGAGGGAGCCAGAGGGCCTGATTAATTCAACAAACATTTGCTAAGCTGTGTGCCAGACAGTGAGCTATAATAATATAGCTGCCACTTGTATAGTCCCCGCCACGCATGATCTCATTTAATCTTCACATTAACCCCGTGAGGTGGTTGTTACCATTTCCATTTTACAGATAAGCATACTCGGCTCGCGTGGTTCAGTGACTTGCCCAAGGTCACACAGCAAAGGCAGAGCTGGGAGTGAAGCCTGTGCTCCTGTCCAGGTCGACCTGCCTCCCTTGTCAGACAGAGGGGCCTTGCCCTCCAGACGGGAGCAGGCTGGCTGGAGGCAGGTGGGCTAACAGCCAGGCAAATCCTCTGTGGTGTGAGGAGAGCCGTGAGGGGGCCCAGGGAGCTTTGGGGCCCAGAAGGACAGATCAGTTCAGCCAGGGCATCAGGACAGGCTTCCCAGAGCAGGAACCTGGAGACCTGAAGAATGTGGGGTAGGATGCAAGGGAGAGGAAGCAGCAGGTGCACAGGTGAAAAGGTTGGGCCCCTCAGGAAGCACAGGTAGGGAAGGGTGACCTCCTGGGCATCAGGCAGTGGCCTTAGCTGTCCCTTGCCTCAGGACAGGGTCTTTCTAACACATCAGACCCACCCTCCTCTCTTACCTCGGAGACTCCCTCCCTCCTGGGAGGTGATTCCTGAGATGTCCGTCTTCACTGTTGAAATCAAAGCCCTTCTTCAAAGGAGCTGGAGATGCGCTGTTAGGCCTACAGTGTGTGGGAGGGGAGCTGGGGCAGCACAGGGGACCGGTCAGCGACTCCTTCACCTCTTCGGAATGGGAGGGAGGACAGAAGCTCGCCCTAAGGCAGAGCTGTCCCTGGGCAGGTACGGCATCTGCACAGCGGATGATGGATCATAGCATCCCTGGGGGTCCAAAGCTCTGTGCTGCCTGCCGGAGAGCTGGCAGAGGGAGGGGGGATGAGGGGACTCAAGAGAGGAGAGGCTGGTTAGTGTGTGTGTGTCTGTATTCAAGTAAGGGCTCTGAGTGTGTGTCTGGGGAATACAACATTTGGCTGTGTGTGTGTTTGTGTCTCTGAGTGTGCATATCGGTAGGGGACAGGCTCTGGGTTGGTGACAGGTGGTCACCCTGGGTAGGATGTGTCTGTATGGGTCTTGATTTGTCTCTGTGTGTTGGTGTTTGTGTCTATGAGGAATGCATGTGTGCGTGTGTGTGTGTGTGTGTAGGATCTGTGTCTGTGTCTGAATGTGCAATTGTGACTCTGAGTAGCGTTGGCTAGTGTGTTCCCCTGTGAGTGTGAGAATGGGAGTGTGGGCCTGCCTTTGTGTCCCTGGCTCTGTGAGTGTGTATGTGTGGAACTTGGAGCATCTGCCCCCACAGCGATGACTCATCTAATCCCTCCACATTAACCCCCCCATCTAGAGCTGTGACGGTTTGCAATGTTGGGGCTGGGGAGGGGGCTGCAGCACGTGGGGGATGGGAAGCAGAGCGTGCGAGGACGCTCAGATGACAGCTGCAGCACGCAAGGTGCAGCCGGTGATTCGAAAGGTACAGAGCCATGTGTCTGCGTGGGCGGTGGGCAACAGCTGAGCCCAGCACAGCCCAGACTTAGAACCCAGTCCCGAGCTCAGCATGGTGTCATTGAGGGCCCCCCAGACACTCTGGGCTGGAGGGAGCAAGGGGCTCCCCAGGTCCCCCCAAATCTTATGCATAGGGGTGAATGTGTCTGTGGGGAAGGAGTTGTAGCTGAGAATCCATACCCACATCCACAGTATCCAATTTCTTGGAGCCTGTCCTCTCTCCCAGTTGTCACACCACCGCTTCCCCCTTTGGTCCCCTAGAGATGGCTGCTCCCCAGGACAGGGATTATGAGTGATTCTTTCCACCCCAAAGCAGCAAATCTTTCTTCCTCTCCTATCAGACCCTGGGCAGGCAGGAGGTCTGGGCCCCAGGTCTCTCTGGTCTCTCTCAGCGGTGGCCTGAGAATGGGAGAGGCTGGTTACTTGGTCTGGGTAAGCACAAGGGAGAGACCCCAGGGCGCATGCTCAGAGAAAACCCCGGGGTCCCCGGGGGCCACGGGTGCTCTGGGAGACCCAAAAGGAACTATGGTCATTTGCTCCTTGGCCCAACAGCAGTGCCTCTGGGAGCTCCCAGCAAAGCCCCCCGTCCAGGGGAGGGACCCAGGGACCTCGTGTCCTCCATCTCCAGGCTGGGCATTCAGCCCTGGCGCCTCCTGCGCCCAGGGAGAGCCAGCCTGAAGCCTTTGCTTTGCCCACGCTGTCAGTCAACTGGTGGCCGTAAGACCTCTTTCCTGGAACCAGCCAGCTCCAGGCTTGTTGATCTAATCCTGAGCCTCTGAGCCACAGGTCCCTGTCACATCTCTCTTCAAGTGTCAGCCTGGGCACTGGCCCCAGCTGCTACCTGCCCCTCCCTCCCAATTCCAGTGTGACTTACAGTAACCTCTGTCTGGCTAGGACTAGAGTAATCGAAATGTAATTGGGTTTTCAACTTGCTAATGCTGCCACAGGCCTGGGACGTGGATGGGAACACTGTGGGCAGTGCAGAGGTGCTTCTTAGAAGAACAGAGATCAGAAAACAAGCAGAGGAGCAGGGTGGGGTGAGGGGAGGGCCAGCAGTGGCTGAGCTGTGGGCCCAGAAAGGGGGATTCTGAGGCCTGAGTCTTGGCAGGACACTGAGGCAGCAGGAGTGTTTTGGTCCTTGGGCCCAACAGCACTGACCTCTGGAGCTCCTAACAAAGTGTCATGCCCATGGGAGGGACCCTGGGACCTCATGACCTCCATCTCCAAGCCAGGCACTCAGCGTTTTTGCCTTTTCTCCTTGGGAAGGGCCAGCCCTCCTTCAGGATTTGGGTGGCTGGAAGGGGACTGATATCCACTGGGAGAACAGGGGGCCCAGGGCCCACAGGCAGCCATCCTTGGTGGCTTCACAAGCTACAGAGCATCTTAAGCCAGGGGCAGGAGCAAGAGGGGAGGAGCTGGAGACAGTAGTCTTCTGTCTTCACTTATTCATGTATTCACTCAACAAACACTGATGGCAGGTAGACTGCGGAGATGGGGGCCTCCTGGTTTGGCTGGGGAGACCCCCATGTAAACAAATGGATGGGGATGGGTATCGAACACATTAGGGTGGGAGCCTGTGGAATAAGGGCAGGGTGCGGGATGGGACCAACAGTGGTAGCACATGTGAACCCAAAGAAAGAACGAACCCCTCAGTCCGTTCAGTCTCGTGTTGAAAAGAGGTTAGGAGTACAGGCTTTGGGGCCAAGGTGAGCCTCCTGGCTCTGCGCTTGCTACTGTGTGATCTTGGACTAGTCACTTTACTTCTGTAACAGGCTGAATAATGGCCCCCAAATACGTCCAGGTCCTAGTCTCAAGAACCAGTGAACATGTTACTTGGCAAAAGGGCCTTTGCAGATGTGACTAAGCTAAGGGTCTCGAGATGGAGAGAGTATCCTGGATGATCCAGGTCGGACCCATGTAATCACAAGAGTCCTTTTAACAAGGAGGCAGGAGGGTCAGAAAGAGAAGATGTAATGGCAAAGCAGAGGTTGAAGAGATGCCAATGCTGGGAGAGACCACAGGCCAAGGAATGATGGCAGCCAGTAGAAGCTGGAAAGGGTGAGGAACAGATTCTCCGCTGGAGCCTCCAGAAGGAACGCAGCCCTGCCCATTCCTTGATTTTGGCCCCGTGAGACTTATTCTGGACTTGTGGACACCAGCCGCCCTGGTGGTCTAGTGGTTAAAATTCGGTCCTCGCACCCCTGTGGCCCCAGTTTATTTCTCGATCAGGGAACCACACCACCCATCTGTCAGTTGTCCTACTGTGGTGGCTGTGTGTTGCTGTGATGCTGAAAGTTATGCCAGTGATAATGCAAACACCAACAGGGTCAGCCATGGTGGACAGGGTTCCACGGAGCTTCCAGATCAGAGAGACTAGGAAGAAGGACCTGGCCACCCACTTC